ATATTTAGGTGGCTAGCTAAATATTTTACTTGCCAGCTAAATATTTAAGTTGCAAGCTAAACATTTAGCTCAAAATTAAATATTTAAGTGACATATTTAGCCTTAAATGTTTAATTTGTAAGTTAAATATTTAGTTTATAAACTATGATATTTATAAATGTATGAATCATATGGTGAAAAACCGCCTCTGAAAAATAAATCTGTTCTTTTTTTCTTAGAAAGGCCTAAATAAAACAAAAATATTGGTGGTAAATTTTGACTGTAACTTTACAAACAGCACCCCATAGAGAACTGCTCTTTTGAACTGGGAGTATTTTTCCAGTTTTCTGTTTCTGAGGCAGGAAATGTGGAACAGGAGGAACTCCACGCTCCCCACTCATCTCTTGCACAACATCTTGATTTACGGTTCTTCTGGGTCTGGAGCGAGCCTTTAAAAAGGGCCCTGCTGCTGGTTTGGAGTTTATTCGGTCGACATCATGGTGTCAGACAAACAGCTACTTGTGGGCGCCGCACTTTTCCTTGCGGCCCTCGTCTCTCCGGGTGCGCGCAGTCGTCTGTTTACATATTTTACTGGTTTAACGCTCGTCTGACTGTGTGGAACTCTTTCAGGTGAGGGGATAATCGGGGGCAGAGAGGCAGCGGCTCACTCCCGGCCCTACATGGCCTCCATCCAGGCCCCGGAGGGGGAGAACCTGAAGCACCAGTGCGGGGGGTTTGTGATCGCGGATCAGTGGGTGATGACGGCCGTGCACTGCATGCCGAACGGGTGAGGTGACATTCTCTGAATCACYGATAAGGTTTTATCTTCAGCTGCCTGTTTCCTCATGCTGGTCGTTCACCGAGCTGCTCGTTTACAAGAACAAATGTCTCGTTCAGAGCGAACGGCAGGAAGGTGGTCCTGGGGGCTCATTCTCTGAGTGAACCCGAAGACACRAAACAAACCTTCGACATTTTGGAGTTACACAATCATCCTGACTACAACAGCATAAATTACGATAACGACATCGCTTTGATTAAGGTAGTGAATAAATTCAGTGGTTGGTTCTGTTTAAGAGCATGTTGAGTCTGTTTTTGTTCGTTTGCAGCTGGATCGTCCCTTTAACGCCTCAGACGCCGTTGCAGCAGYGAGTTTCCTGCGAGACGGTGGTACAAACCCTGGTTTGGGGGCAGAGGTTGAGACGACCGGCTGGGGGTCCTTGGACAACTTGGGCTTCAGGCCAGACAAGCTGCAGGAGGTGGTCATCGAGGTGCTCAACCCCGTTACCTGCAAACGCGCCGACTACTTCGGCAGGAAGTTCACCGCTAACATGATCTGTGCACATAAAGTGTGCGACAACAGCTGCGGTCAGAGTTCTGGCATCCAGGACAGCTGCGACGTGAGTCCTGGCTCAGATTAACCCTTAAAAACACAACTTAGTGTCTGTAGAAAACCTGGTGTCTCCACTTCCTGTCTCCACTTCCTGTCTCCACTTCCTGTCTCCACTTCCTGTCTCCTCAGGGTGACTCCGGAGGTCCGCTGCTCTACAACGGCGTCGCGGTCGGCATCACCTCCAACGGCGGGAAAAAGTGCGGCCAAAGAAAAAAGCCTGGGATTTACACCGTCATCTCCCACTACACGCAGTGGATCGACGGAACCATGGGGGTCCAGGTGGCTCCRGAACCAGACCAGGAGACCAAACCTTAAAGTGTCCGTGACGTTAAATTTTTTTTTAATAAATATGAACACATTTTTGGAAAGATAACATCGATAACATGTCGCAAGACAAACTTCAAGCCGCTGAGATGAACAGTTGTTGAGATATTCACGTGTGAAGAAACAGGAAGTGATGTCAGAGGGGAACGTCTGCATGTAAACACAGCGATGCTACAACGGCTAACACAGACTGTGGAGACGAATCTGATGTTTTTTAGATTATTTTGTTTCTATCAGAGAGATGAAGAGTCAGAGTTCAAATATTGTTTACATAAATTTCTTTCTTAGAGTTCCCCTTTGATGTCACTTCCTGTTTCACTTTGATTGGGCCAAGATCAAAAGAAAATCTGCCATTTATGTGACAAAATGAGTAAAATCATGTGTTTAATGCCAAGTTTTTTTACATATAAATGTGTTAATTTTTTTAATTTGTGTATTTGAATATGCACGTCACAGAATGT